GGCTTATGTGGCTTCAAAGCCACACGTTTGTGCCCGGATGTATTAAAGGGCTCACCAGAAGCCTCGGACCTGAACGAACACGGGGGCTGCCTTTCTTCTTTCTTTACTACAGAGAATTCTAAGCCGGAGCTGGCTCCAAGTCCACTTGCTGGAGCTAGAAAAAGGCTTCAACAAGCTTCGATGATCTTGCAAGCTATTGGCTATTGCTGACTCCATAGAGCCATAGATCTTGGCAATTGTAGACAGGAGCTTCGATGATTGTGTCGCAGCGATGCATCCTAATAAACTTCAAAGATCTCGATTGGCTTAAAAAGATCCTCGAGATACCTCGATGACATTGCAAACTGACACTGATCTCCAGTGGATATAGAAGCAGGATGAGTCCAAGAAATAATGCTGCGGACGACTCCGTTTCTGGGCCCACGAAACGAAAGCAATTCTGGCTTCGCCACAATGGGCCTCTCCAGTTGCAAATCCGCTGGTTGTGGCATTTAAGGTAAGCGTGCAGCTGCTTTGGACAAGACTTCTGGCTTTTCAATCTTGCGTCTGCATGGTGCCCAAAACTGCGGGAACAAAGGCAGGCAGGCGCACGCCCGAGATCCAGCTGGTTGGCCCCGAACAGTTGCGATTTGCGACCCCAAAAATGGGGCCGTTTCGCGGCCCCGAAAACAGGGCTGCGACATGCGCCCAAAAATGAGGCCGCCAAACGGCCCCATTTTGGGGGGTCGCGAATTCTTCTACTTTGAGGCACGTCCGCCTGACTGCTACACAACAAGGCGACTGTGGCACACAGGCGCGCGTCCAGCTTGGAAAAAAACAAGCTTTCAGGATTAAGGCTTCCAAGCCTTGCTTTCTTTCGGAAGTACATTAAATCAACATGAAAGAAACGGGCACAGTTGCAAATCCGCTGGTTGTGGCATTGAAGGTGAGCGTGCAGCTGCTTTGGACAAGACTTCTGGCTTTTCAATCTTGCGTCTGCATGGTGCCCAAAACTGCGGGAACAAAGGCAGGCAGGCGCACGCCCGAGATCCAGCTGGTTGGCCCCGAACATTTGCGATTTGCGACCCCAAAAATGGGGCCGTTTCGCTGCCCCGAAAACAGGGCTGCGACATGCGCCCGGCCTCATTAAATATATAGTTTGAGCATGAGTTGGAGGCTTGGAACCCCGACCCCAAAAATGGGGCCGCCAAACGGCCCCATTTTGGGGGGCCGCGAATTCTTCTACTTTGAGGCACGTCCGCCTGACTGCTACACAACAGGCGACTGTGGCACACAGGCGCGCGTCCAGCTTGGAAAAAAACAAGCTTTCAGGATTAAGGCTTCCAAGCCGAGCCTTGCTTTCTTATAGAAGTACATTAAATCAACATGAAAGAAACGGGCACAGTGAGAAAGGATGATTGTGCTTGGAGTTCGCTCCGTGAATCAATGGTTCAAAAAAACTTGCAAGAAAGATTCTTCTCATGATCATGATTTCAAGATGTCAAAGTTCAAGTTTTATCAACTTTTTATAACAAGTGTTTGATTGTTTTGTAGGTTCTCTCATTACTTGTCATTTAGGATTGTTATGACTTCTCCGTTGCCATGATGCCATGATCCATGACTTTTTCGTTTTTCGACAAATGTTTCCGAGCATATTATGTCATTTTACATGTTACATTGTCAATTGTCAATCAGATAATCAGATCATCATAATCAGAGTCTATAGTCTATCATTTACGAACGACGAAACTGCACGGTGGGGCAAGTCACTCCCTCCAACTCCCTGTGTCTCCCTTGGTCGCCTGCTCCCTCGGTTCCAATCACGAAGTCTTGATTTCGATCGTGAACCCCCAATTCCAGAACTCGTGAGGCCTGAATCTTGCGTCTTGAAGTTTTTGAAGTTTGAAATGATAATTGGGTTGTAAACATGATAGATTGCCGACTGTTCGAGAAAATGGAAGCAAATTCAGTGCATGTAGATTTGGCTCTCACAGCACAATTCTCCGATCACTTTCCACGTGGTAGCAGAGCCTTGAGTGTGTTTATTTTCTGCCTTCAAAACTGAGCACTCAGCAACAGTGCCCTGGCTCCAGTGAAACGGACACAAAGATCGGTAAACCAGCAGATTTTATGGAGAGGTGCTTCTCTCTGATCCGTTTGGCGTTGGCAGCCAGAAAATTGCAATTCCATCAAGTTCCAACTGAATTCTGCCATTTGACAAATTTTGGCAATTTTTGAAGCAAACTCAAGCAAATTGAACTTTTGCAGGTGTTTGGTGGAAAATTGACCTTCTGAGCAGGCCACACAGGTGGGTCTGGGCCAGCCCCAAGCGCCTTGGAACCCAGCCACCGGAATCCATGCTTGGATTTGCTTTGAAATATCATTTTGCAAACGCATAATAGCTTCGAGAAGCATTTCCACCAGAAAACCAGCAACCTTTGGTGGTTTTCAGGTGAGAATTGGTTGCTCGGGGTTCAAGGAGTGGATTTCCACCGGAACAGTGGCAAATTTGGCAAAGTTTTCAGGTGACAATCGGAGCCCACCGGAGCCCACCACCCACTGGAACCCACTGGAACCCACCGGAATCCCACCCAAAACAGCCTTTAAAACACACAAAAATGTGCTGAAGATGAAAAAATGCAGCAAAAAAGAGCAACAAACACACAAACCTGCACAAAAAGTGAAATTGAATGGAATCCAGCGAAAAAGGCCAACGCGCCATGAAACGCTCTGTTGTGCAACTCAGTCTGGCGGGACTTCCGCTAGGAAACGCAGCCCTGGCAGCAGGAAGTTATTTCTTGTAACGTAACACAAATGAAGCGGAATGTAGGCTGGAGCAGATCGGCGTACTAAAGTTCTGAATAAGCTGGCGCAAGCCAGGTGTGCAAGCTAGAATTGCTTTGGCCTGAGACGCGAAGGCCAAGATCCCCAGTGAATGCGTGGTTCTCTGTATCTCATAGCTTGTGCTGGTTGAGAACCGTTAAAACCCAAACGCGCCTTGAGGCACACTTCTAGGTTTAGTAAAAGGAGGTGCAAGCCGACTGACTGACTACGTCACGCAAGGCTACAGCAGTGAAAGCTAACAGCACTTTTACACCTTTCTTCGCAACCAACTGTTCACCACGCGCTTGTCACGCAGTGCAAGTCTTGAGCCAAGTGAAACGGGGCGCGGACAGAGACTTCAGCACACTCACTTCCGAGGTAAGTCCTAAGGACTCCTAACGGCTTCTCTGCACTGGAAACTCTGCTACACGGCCCAGGTGTTCCCCGGACTTCGTCTAGAAGTCCGTTCTCACAGTAAACAAACTGAAAACACTCTGATGTTCATCATGCTTCAGGAAAGTTCAGGGAAACACCATTCTTAGTGAAAACTCGTGAGGAAAACTCCGGTTGGACACGCTTCTGGTAATGATCACTTTCACCGCAAGGTGAGACAGGAAGCGTGAGCGCAGCGACCGACAGACAGACAACTTTTCCCTACTCCTACCGTTCACAGCTACACCTAAGGTTCTCTAAAACTCACAAAGGAGAAAACAGAAAGTATTCCTGACCTTGGCGAGACACAGGGGCACCATTATAGGATTGAAAATCAACTCCCCCTCATGAACCTGTCGTCGAGAAAAGGTACCGGTCCAGTGGCTGCTGTTGCGTATTGGGCTCGTAGATCTTCTCACGGGCCACGATAGTTTTATGGCTCTTCCAAAAACGGCTGCGGCTGTACAAAGAGGCGTCAGCACCTACCAAGCACTCAAAGCCCTAAGAGCTGTGTGAGCAAAAGCTTCGGGGTAGTGCTGGGTGTTCTTCCGAACGAACATCTTACTATGCTCGTGGTTTCCAGGGCACTTTAATTTATCCATGCAGTGAATGAGAACATGACTGTTCGAGCACAACCTCCAAACCTTCTTCACAGGAAGTGCGTCCATTCCAACCATGCCGCAGGCACAACCATGCACAAGAGCGGTCTCATGCGGATTGATCTTAAGGAATGACTTCGTAGCGGACCATCCCCAGTAAGCACAACGTTGCGGCCACTCAATGACCCAAGTTGCCGAATCAGATGTGTTGACTAGCTTCAAGAAGCTCTTCCAGAGCTGTCGGTGGACTGTGAAAAGTCCTTTCATCCTTTCATCATAGTGATCTGCAGATCGGGCTTGGTGATAGCGCTGCCAAGGCGAACCACCGGTACAGGGCGTCGAGGCCCACACAACAACATGCATGTTCCGACGGTGTGCCGCACGAAGGGCGTGCTCAATGAGCTCGATGGTCTCTGGGAGAGTACCATCCGTTTCTTCCGTCACGGGAATAGCATGGATGCCATAGTGGCTAGCAAGCTTAGTCAACCAGGCTTCTCCAGAGGTGCAGAACTCGACCATCACAATGTAATGCGGTGTCTGCAACCGACAACGACCAACCACCACACTCCAAGGATCATCGACGCTTGCAGAAAACAGACCTTTGAACGCGGCAAACACAAGGCAACGGACCGGGGGCGCATCACCTCGAAGATAGTCACTACGGGTGAGACGTTCCTCAAGACACAACTGTCCTATATGATACCAAGTTTGCGCGACACTCAAGTTCTTTGTTTGCAAGTCGGCGACGTTATCTGTTCCTGGGACGTGTGTAACCAGGATCTTGCCGTTCTCAACCTTATCTTGCAAGTAGCTTTTTTACTTTAAGCCGCGGGACGAGTAGCTGTCCACTAGCGAGCCCGAGATGCGCGCTTGGCATCAAGAGCAAGAGCACTACACGAGATCCGATTTACGGATCTAACTACAAGCCTACCAAAACTACAACTGCGTCTGCAGACTGCAAAAGCGCTTGCTTGGAGGTTGTGACAAGAGGTGTGTGTCCACAACTGCAGTCAGGACAGACACCTGCTTTTGCACCCAACGCCAGGAGCTGGCCACAACGAGCAAGGCTAGAGAGAGAGAGTACACTTGGACAATCGGCTGAAGGCTGAAAAGTGTTCACTGAGCACGGCGTGGCACAGCTGGCAGCCACTACCGAGCGGTTCGAGATCAAACACGAGTCAAGTAAAGCACATAACAGTTGGATTGGATCTCACTCTTGGTTTTGGCATTGGCTAAAGTGGCATGTTTGCCATCATCAGCATACCAGAGTTTGTTCCCTTCGTCAAACAAGGCAGCTCTGTAGTGACCCTCGTGGGGAGTGCTTCCCAAATGGATTGCAGCTGCTTGCAGCTGATAAGCGACGTGGCATACATGGTTAGTCGAAGCAACAAAGCAAGGAAACTGCACCACTCCATCATCAAGGCTAATGTGCGTGTGAAGCTTGCCACGTGGGCCATATCGCGAAAGCTGCAAGACTAGGCACTCAGGAGGTCGCCACAGCGCGTGTACCTGGTCTTGGGCACTCCAGGCTGTCACGAGTTGCTGAACAGTGGCGCCGTCGGTCAGAGGCACTGACAGAGGCAGAGGAGATGTGTCTCCCAGAAATCGCACTTCTCCTGCAGTGGTGCGTGCTTGCCAGACACCGCTCAAACCATTCGTGTCAGCCCCCGCCTGGTATGATTTGATAAACTCTGCGGCATCATGCTGCCGTCCGGGATCCCTCCAATGACGTAGTAGCTGCTTGAACTGCCAAAGATCCCACAGTGAAAAAGGCTTGGCAGCCTTTAGCAGGGCCTCGAGGGACGAAAGTAAAGCACGTGGCAGGAGATCCTGCCGACATTGGCACTGCAGCCAAAGCAAGCATAACATGGTGCAATTGGAGTAGCACACATTGGACCTGTTCAAAAGCTTGGCCTTCAGGAGGCTCAGTCGACTCACCTGAGGGGGTCGGGCATGGGCAGATCGTACGGCATTAGAGGTATTAGGGTCGACAAGGGCTTTAGGGGCGTTAGGAAGGGTATGAGATGCAGAAGGCTGCGCAACAGGAACGGTGGGAGAGTTAGGGGTAGCTGAGGCTCCAGCTGAGCAGTCGGGAGCTGTCGAGCCAGGGCATTGGCCAGAGGGCTGCGCGCCAAGCGCTCCGGCTTGATCGCCATGCCCAAAACCTGGCAGCTGGCATTGGCGCAAAGTGTTTGCAGGGCTGCGTGCAGCTGGTCCGAAGGCGTCGAGCGGTTTGCCACTGAGCACAGGAATGTGATTGACGGTCCCCGAAGCTCTGCTGCCAGTGGACGGGTGGGACAGAATCGAGTGATCAGATCCGCGTCCTGGCTCAGGCGTACGATGTGGTCCACGTTCTCCCGAACTTCCTGCATGTTGAGCGGTTGCTTCTCCGCGTCCGGGACAAGTCGGCCACCCGTCTCCGCGTTGGCCTCCCAGCGGAGGAAGGCCCACCGTCCGTCCTTCAGATAGCCCAACTTCGTCATCATGGACTGGATCTCGGCTGTCAGGAGCTCC